TGCATGCATGACAATACTCTTTAATATTGTTGGTCATTTGCATATGTGACTGAAAATAGTAATAGTGAATTGCAGAGTCAGATGGGGAGCGAACTCAGAGTTCAGAGCATTTGTTTGGAAATAAATTGCGTAGAAGTTTTGCTGCATCCTGGTAATACAAGGGATTTTTCTGATCCTGGTAATACAAGGGATTATGAAACAATTATGCACTTATTTCTTTTGTGTTTTATTCTAAGTAATTTTCAAAGGACATTAAACATTAAACTGAGGACAAAATAATGGTACCTATTTGTTTGTTATGTTTATACACAGCCCATTGTTAAAAAGCCAACATTTTTAAGAAACCTAACGTTCCCACAGGTTGGAATCTATCTTAAGTAATGGCAAATAGAAGTTTAAGTAATAAGGAACTAAAAAAAATTCTCTGGGAAAGATAGTGATGAGTGCAGTCAATCAAATAAATTTTATTAAATTTCCAATTTACAAATATATTGTTGTACATCCAGATCCAATTTGGACAGTTTCTCTACAAAGTTTGTTTTCCTTTGAGTACTTTTAACCATTTCTAGTCATTATCAGAAACATTTTGGGATAAAAAAATGAAATAGACACATCTTGTTGGTTGAATTTAATAAAACTTGTTATACATAAAAACCAAGTAAAATTAAATAATCATTTATCTGTCCCTACTCATCAGGAGTTTTTCATCTTATTTTTTTTACTATTATGCTTGATATTGAGCACTTTAATTACAAAAATCGCTTGCCTTATTTTGCATTATTCGACTCTGCTGAGCTTCTGACCTGGTAGGATTATTCATTTTGTAGAATTTAACTGCCCATGATTGTGTTAATACTGATAGTATAAGATTATATAGAGAGGATGGCCTTTTTATTTGTTAGGGACTCTACTAAAATTAAGGTACATCATATCAGGAAGATGATACATAGAGCGCTAAAAGATTTAGGCCATAAAACAAAATTAACAACACCAAACAAGTAGATTTTCTTGATGTCACCTTTGATCTTATGAATAGTTCTTATCAACCTTATGTGAAGACAAACTCTAACCCCTGTATATGTATACCCCAATTCTAATCACCCAATGTCAGTCATTAAGCATGTATCTTCTTCCATTGAGTTTAGAATTAGTGCGAACTCTTCTAATGAAGAGGTTTTCAATAGGCATAGGGAATTTTATAACTCTGCCCTGAGTAGTAGTGCTTATAGAGGTACCAGCATTAAATACATAATTCCCATTAATATTGACCATAATAAGAAGCAAAGATCCAGGAAGATCATCCGATTCACCATCCCCCCTTTTCTAAGTTGGTACTAAAATTCTTAAATCTTATTAATAAACATTTTCCTAAAACGAATAGGCTTAGTAAAATCTTCAATAAAAATACTCTTAAACTTAGTTACAGTTGTGTGGATAACCTCAAAAAAACATAATTAAAAAGCATAAGGCATTTAACAGATATAGAAAACTCAAAGGACATGACAAATTGTAGTGATGCATTAAACAATACTAAATATCATATCAATACTAGTGGATGTAACTGTAGGAGTCCCAAAGATTGCTCATTACAAAATAATTGCCAAACTAGTCCCCTGGTTTATCTTAGTACTATTTCTTCACTTGAAAACCCAAATATTACAAAAAAAACTTACATTAATAGTACTAAAAATCCATTTAAATGCCATTGGTACCAGCATGTTTTTTCCTTCAAAAATAGTTCTCATAAACATGCTACCTTGCTGTCCAAGTAATATTGGAGTTTAAAGGAGAAAAACAAAACTCCAACTGTCAAATGGAAGTTAATTAGAAGAGCTTGTACCTGTAATTCTTTATATGTACCATGCTACCTGTCTCAATGAAAAACTAGAAATCATTAAATTTAAGGACAAGATAAACCTATTAAATTGAAGGAAGGAGCTCACTGTTAATTGTAGGCATAAATTATCTTAAATTTCTTTCTACCTAGATAAAATATTGTATGTAAAGATGAAATGGTATTGTAAGTCTGTAAAAAATTTTTTGTCCTTAAATTTTTAATTATTATCTACCTTAATTTGCTAAGATTTCATTATAAAGTAGATTATTTAGTTAATTTTGAATAGTTGTAACTCTTATTGAATTAATCTTACATAGACTGAATTTAATATGGCTATTATTGTAAGGATGTTTGTCTCTACTCTTGTTATATATGGGCATACTTTTCTAGGTGCTTGTTTTTATGTTTGTGTTTATATGTACTTGTTTTTTATGTCCATTTACATCTGTTTGTATATGGGTGTCCATGTCTATATATATATATATATGTGTGTGTGTGTGTGTGTGTGTGTGTGTGTGTATGTATGTATGTTTATTTGTATATTGATTTTCCATGTTTGCATAATTTTGACGGGTAGTTTGCGTTGTCTCTGTAGTTATTTGGATGATTGAATCTTGATGAGTCTGCTTATTTGTCATCTGTATATTTGCATGCTCATATATTTAATCATATTTACATGTTTGTGTATGATGTCTGTCTTGTTACCAATAAACCTTTCTCCCTCATCTACTAAATAATAATAACCCCATCAATGTAACTAATTTTGTAGCTATATATTGCATCTCTTACTGCCACCCAAATTTGGACGGAAAACTTAACATATTAATAAGAATAATACATCAAAATTTAGGCATATTTTCTCTTTTTTTTTTTAATAATTTTGTAAGTTTCTGAACTTGATGCATGGTTATTTTTAGTGTTTAATATTTGTAACTTTTTTTTTTTTAATTACATAATAAATTGGAGATTATATAGGAAATCAGGATAACTAATTAATCTAATATTAATTTTAAAGCATTACTAAATTATATCTAGGGCCCACTCTCATGTTATTTGAATTATCATATACTTGTAATTTGATTGGCCATTACATATGTAAAAATATTCCCCCTAGTGGGGGTAGTGATTGATTTTGAACTCTTTAAAAATCTTTATTTCACAATCAACACCATCACCTGACAAGACACCAGAAGTGTTGAAACAAAATGGCTATTTTTGTAGTGATGTTATAACATACTTATAATTTTTAAATCATTGAAATCGATTTTTATTGAGACAAAAAACAACCATCCAGTAACACTTCAATCTTCACTTCTTAAAAAATAAGAACATTTTCTCATCTAGTTTCATTTCATCATGATAACAATAAACATTGAATTTTAATTGTTGTAAAATTTCAATTCTATTTGCATTAATGGCAGAGAAAGAGTCCTCACCAGTTAGCTTAATAGCAGAATAGACCTCAAGGGGTAGCCAGTCTAGGAGAAGGAACAATCTGAATTCTAAACAGTGGAGAAAGCAATGAGAAATCACTCTACTATCATTCCCAAGGAGTAATGCCAATTCACAGGTAACAATAAATAGAATCTGTGGATAGTGATAATAGCCTACACTTCAAAGGGATATGGCAATATAAAAAAAAGTTTGCATTTGCTGTACATCCTTTGTTCCCCCTGAAAACATGTACAAAAAGTATTAACATGCTTTACTACTAAAATGGACACTGGATTTGTCATTATTACAGGTTGATGGAATTTGGAAAAATAGTATGCCTATGAATATGTGGAGGTCCAAATAAATTTAGCAAAAACCTCTAGATTATGCCAATTCAAAATATTTTATTGGTCTTAAACTTTTTTTAAAAATTTTCAGGGGCTTGAAGCTTAAAACAGTAAAATCATGACTTTGTGAAAGTTGATAGTTTACCAAGCAACCAGCAAAAAGCAGTTAAAATCCAGAAAGCTGCAGTAAATCTTTAAAAAGAAAAACATATCTTCATCCATATTCTTTAAAAGCAATCGTTTTATACAGAACATAAGTTGTTATTACAGTGCAAAGCATTAACTTAAGTAGAAGATCTAGCAGATTTTAATTTTTTAATGAGGTAAATGTATAATAAACAGCAAATAATTTAAACACAAAATTTCAAAATCAGACAGGATTAATCAGAAAAATTTGACAATTCACAGAAAGGAAACGAATGGAAATTTCAAGATACTTAAAACTAATATCTTTTTTAACCAAAAGAACCCACAGCTAACAATTAGGAACTATTCAATAAATAATGAATATAAAATCATATAGAAAGAATACTACAAATCTAAAAAATAAACAGTGTAACATTCACACAAAAATTCCAATAACTATCAAATATCCCATCAATTTGCTATTTCCTACTGATTAGTCATTATGGTAACAAGAGTTGTAAAATCAGAACCAAATAAATTTAATAAGAGTTTTGAGGTATTTTTTTTTTTTTTTAAATTAACTTTTCAGTTATTCACATTTTTCAAAATCATAAAACTAGTTTGAAAAATTTCATCTTTTATCACTTGATCATGCACGGCAAGAACATCGTAAATTATTAAAGTTGACAAAAAATTTTTAATATGAAACAATAAAGTGTTAATGAAATTTAATTTTATTTATAGAGATCTTACTTTTCTTTTAATCTAACCATTATTTTATAGTCAGCAATAATTACTGAAGATTAATTTTGACATCAGCACACATGCAAAAAAAGTTAAATCAATCAAACGAGATATTAACACTTAAAAACTAACTATTCACAAAAAAATAAAATTTGGCATGACAACGTTCATCTATAGAAACATCAATGTTCAATAGATTTTTTAAAGTTTTCATATTCTACCGCTCATAGCCTCTTAGTGTTATATAAAATACCACAACTGTCACAACTTTATAAGAGAGTTTTTTTTTTTGTTTTTTTCTGCCAAGGCAGAAAGCAAACTTCTAATTTCAATGCCACAAATTTTGCATAATATTCCATGAAATTGATAGACCAGTGTCCAAGGTTTTATGATAATGTCAACATTGGTCAAGTGAAAATCAAACTGACCAGCAACTGGAGCAGAATATAAACTAGCAATCATTTTAGAGAAATTCTCAAAGCAATGAACGTGCTGCCCTGGGTAATACCTACCTCGCTGAAGGTTAACATTCATTGCTACAGAGCGAAGGACAGAGCTGGCGGAATTGACCAGAGTTGAATCATGGGCGGAAGGAGGAGGAGGAGACTGCTCAGGTAAACCTGTAGTCTTGTTGTTCCCAGCTGTAAGCAGTGAAAAGAGGCGGAATGTGAGAATTAGTGCTACTCAGGCCACCAGCAATGATGTATGGACAGACTGGACAAGGGAAGTGACAAGCAGCATATGCCCCTTAATTGTCAACATGGGTGGAGCCCAATTTTTTTTAATCTTTCAATTTGTATTAGAAAAGTAAGGAGCAATTTTAACCAAGAGAATTTTAATTTAGAATGAAGAATAAAATAGCCATGAGAATATAAATAGAGTATGTACGAAAAATGAAAAAGAAGAAAAATTAAAACCACTGAGAGAAATTGAAAGACTGACATCATAGCATGTATAAATGAACATTCATAGATTGCTTATCTTGACAAGTTCTGCAGGAACAGTTTCAGTTTTCCAAAATAGCAAAGATAAATCAATGGAACTTTGCAAAAGATTATATTGCCAAACAGATTTAACTTGAAGAAAGAAAGATGGCTAACACAGAGCACTTACCTGCTCAGCAGAGAAGGTTTAAAAAAGATTGAACAAGTTTGAAAATTACAAATGCACAACTAAATTCATAACCAATAAATCAGCTTCAGTAAGTAAAAAAAATAAATTATATTCCTTTAATATCCTAATAATTTAAAGAGAATTTTATTAGAAAATAACAATTTAATAGTCTTCATGAGAAAAATATCAATACATTATTAATGAAAAAAATCTACTCATCTTTAAAAAAAGCAAAGCAATACATTAGCATTTAGTATGCGCTGTTAGATTTATAAGTGTTCTTAGAAGAAACATAAAAAGGTGGCAACAGAGAAGCCAATAATGGGATAGAAAAGAGGTACTAAAATCAATATCTCAAAATAGATTTTGCTCAAGTGTTGTACCAACATTGAAGTAACTAACTGAAGATGTTTCCTTCATGGAAAACACTGAAATCATTTTATTAAATGGAATCAATTCAGCATTAAAAAGCTATACATAATGATACTTATAAAAATACAAGTTTTTGTTAAAAAGTGTAGTTTGCATAAAATATTTAGTCATGCTATACATATTTTATTCAGTGTTTACAAACAGATAAGTTGTGTATATGTGTATGTCATAGATAGAGATTAATATCATTATTACTTCATATAGCAATTGATATTCAATACCAAGAATTGCAAAAAAGGTTTATACATTAAGAATACAAACTTAAATAAACTAAAATTTTAACTGCAAAATAGCCAAATTTAATAAATACAAAATTTTACATCATTCAAATACTAAAAGATATTGTAGTATATCAAGTTATTTTTATTAGTATTTTCTTATGTATTCAGTCAGTTAAGTGCCATATGTGATACATGCTTAGGCGATCATGCTTCTTCATGACTGATGAGACAGATCCCCCCCGCCACAGTAGGTTGCCATTTCTTTCTGCAGTAGACTGGTTGCCAATCAAGGCTAAAAAACCCAGTTTGTCCTGCTATTCAACCTATAGCTGGGGGGGGGGGAGAAGAGATGGATTCATACCTTTCCCAAGGGTATTTGTGCATAAATGAATCTAACAAACTCGACTGAAATTTGAACTCAGCTCTCAGAGTTCTCACTTCAAGCTGATATCCATTACACCACAACGCACATCTTATGCATTACTAATAGATAAAATAAACTGAAAGAGTAACTTGACATGTTTTACTAACCCAAGCTTTCTTAAAAAATCACAAACAATTATTAAAAGACTTCAATTTGTTTTCCATTATATCAATAACAAAATGAGCAATCAAAATAATGCAAATAATAACCATTATTTGGACTCAAAGATTGAGGAGAGAGAAAAGGGAAAAAAACTACAATTATTGAATATCATATACAAACTGCAACTGTATATTCTGTCAAGAGCACCATGAAGAGCTATTAAATGCTGATTCTCATTTACTTTGAAGAGACAAATATTCTAAACATTTTATGGTGATCAAAATAGATGTAGACAGACATTGAAATTAGTAAAAGTATTGCCATCAATTAAATGCTTCATAAAAATGCAGTTTTAGTTTCAAAGGCAAAGCAACCATTACAAATTTGCAAGATAGAAAATGTTTAATGGCACACAACCTGCACCAATCCTTATTAGTGGCCATACTCTCAAAGAGACTGCTTGCCAACCTCAAATGGAACACATATATTTGTTCCATCGCAAAAGATGCTGAAAGAATGGTTGGTTCCTTGTATCATTCAAAAAAATATTCATGCTGCCATGCACTATCTTTACAAGAGTCAGATCAGACCAAGAATAGAGTATTACTGTCTAGCCTTAACAGAATTCAAAATCAATTATACAGCCTTGTGTGTGGTGAACATCCTGCAACTTTTATCCCACCGACAAAATGAATTCAAAAACAAATTAAAAACTTCAATATCTTGTTCAAGAAACCTAATACCAAAACAGAGTTGATACAAAAGAATTACTTAAAAATCTATAAATACTCAGTTCAATCTAGCTTTATAAAACATTAAATACATCAATAATAAATATACCAAACAATATAACATTAAAAAACTGTTTCATCCTCCTACTTATGATTTTTTTTCACAGATGTCCTAACTTATTTGTTGATAGGTTAGTTTTTGGCTTCATTTAGAGTTAGTCAAGACTAAAAAATCACTAAAAAGGCTTTTATTTTGTCAAAAAAGTGACGTGTCTCTGCATGTTTACATACGAGAAGACACTAGGATTTGTTTGCTCTTTCTTTCACCCGACTCATTTCTTTGTCTTATTATTTCATCATTTATAAATAGACAAAATAATTCACCTTCAGAAAGGTTATCAGGCATATCGATGGTTGCCAGTAGCTTCCATAAAATTACTTAGGCATGGATGATAGTAGCTGCTAGTGGTCATCGTCACTTTCCTCCATATCACTAGCGTGATTATCAACTCCGACCACTTCACCATCAATATCCATTCAAGTAAATCCTTCAAAATCATCATTGGAATCCTCAAAGAAAAACTCCTGAATGAAGGCTTTGTTGGATATTGACGTGGCCATTTTTGTTTACAAAAAGTCACGAAAAAATTAACCTCATGTAGCATCTACAAGAATTCAAAATGGCGTTGGAAAACAGAAGTTTAACCTTGTTCCAAAGTCGATTTCCAGCTTAAAATACCAGAAAGTATTTATTCATAGCAACCATCTCAGGCAACAGAATGCACCTAGAGTAGCAAACAGACAGAATTCTATGGCAACTATTGTTGTCTGTGGTGTGGTAATGGTTAAGAACAACGAAATACAAAATTTTATTGATTCATACATTTTAGTCAAAAACCATCATGAATGCCAAAAAACTTTTTAAGAAAATGCATATTTATCATTGACCTTTTAACAATTACAATTAAAAACTTCACAAAACAAACCTTATAACTTTATAAGTTAAACTAATTTTGACAGTTAATAACATTCAAGATGCATATGTAGCATAACAGTATGAAAAGCAGAATCAGCAAGCTAAGTTCAAATTTTAACCCCATCTGCTGCATTCACTTTAATGCTGCAAAGAAAAGCCTTTAGTATCTGTCTATATTTCTGAGATGAGGTATTATGTACATTATTTGGACTATTGTCCTCATCTTTTTAATATTTATTCTTTTATTTTTACTTAAAAGGGATATAAAAAAAATATAAACGTTCCTAAGAAATTTATTTAAAAGATTACATCATCTAAGTTAATTACAGAGGAAGTAATCTCTGTATTCCAGATATGAAGTTAGTGCAAGTCTCAGGGAAATATTATTAATTGCCTTTGGAGATCATCGCCTCTAACTTGCTGAGGTGAAATTTTTTGGTAAATTAAAGATCCGCCTGGCCATCACCTCTTAAAATCCCAACAATTGAGTCTGCCATACTTCTTTTTACATCAACTTTAATGACTGACCTAACTTTTTCAATGGGATTTAACATTTTTTCTATAGGGGCAAGTCTGAAAATTTGGTGTTGCCTAAATTCATCCTCCTCCACAACTTCTTCAATTGAAGTATGACAAGGAGCGTTATCAATAACTAAGACAACTCTCCTTTCATAAATTTCATTTGCCTTTCTAAGGCACTCCCTGGTCCATTCTTTCACATCCTCTTTTTTGAAAGAACCTCTTAATTTTATAATGAATTAATCCATTATTACTAATACATCCAATAACATAGATGTTATTTCCCCTGGATCTGGCCGCAACTGTAGTGCACTTCATGCCTTTTTTTAGAGCGACCTTCTCTTCTTGAAATATGGAGATTAAAATTGGTTTCATCTATATAAAGAATTTGCACACTTTGGGACTGAAATTCTAATAAAGCTACTAACGTAATCCTTACGTTTCGCCTTATTGACATTATTATTGGCAGCTTCTGGTTCATAATGAACCGCTTTTAAAGTCAAGGCCATGGAGTTCAAGTGTTTTTTATTCATTCTTTTCGTCACAAGAACCTCATACTTTTTCGACCAACTTATTTAAAAATGTCTTGAAAAGTGACTCTAGGAGAGAGTTTTCAATTAATTCGGCCATAAAATTCTTATGCTCTTGCATAATTTTATATTTTCTTGCTCCTCCCCTAGAGTCACTCTTATCAGCACCCTGGTCTAACCAACGGTACACTGTTGGCAGAGGCACAATAAAATTGTTCTTGCCAGGTCTTTCCAAATTTCCTGCTGCGGAATGTGCAGCTAAAATTGTGCCACTTTTTCCTAAGCCACAGTTTTCTTGAGGTAAGTCCTCTTTGAGCTGTTGTTAATTTTCTTGAGCTTCTTTTGTAGAGGTTTCTCCAGCATCATCATCAATCATCATTTTTGTCCATACGGGACATTTTCTCCTCCTTTTTACTGTAGGCTCACCCAATGCTTTCTTGGCCTCTAAGTTGTTTGTATTTTGGTTTTCTCTTCTTCTATATAATGAAGACGAACAGTCAATTTCCTTACTCATGGGGTAAATTAATTGAAAAAATAATTTTCAATTTACCAAAAAGAATGTTCCAATTTGAAGTTGTTTATTCTTATTTTGA